GGGGGGAAGGCGTGGGGAAGGGAGGCAGGCAGACGAGCAGGTCACGTTCCCCTCAGAGGACTCTGTGGCTGCGAAGGAGACAGCTGCAGGGTCTGAGCAGAGGAGCCTCAGCTTCGGTCATTGGATGGGGCAGGGGAGCCCCCTGGGGAAGTGGGACTCTCAGCTCACTCCCCTGCCAAATAGGCTGTGCGCTCACTGCTTCCATTACAGAAAAGCGTGGGTGGCCTGGAGGCAGAAAGAGGCCCACAGTCGGGTGTGAGCGTGTGCCCGCGCAACATGAGCTGCACTGTAGTCTGGGGCTGCAGTGTTCCATGGCTCTGGGGTAACCTCAGGGTGGGCCACCGCTGGAGGACTGTGTCCAGTGGGTCTGTCAGCTGCCGTGTGATGCGCTAAGTCGGAATGGGAAGCACTTCACAGGCTTGAAGCTCAGAGAGTACAGCGACTTCCTAGTGCTGTGGGTGAAAGTGGGCCGGCAGAGAGGGGAAAGTGGGGGCCGATTACAGGGTTATGTTGTGTCTTTAAGACCCTTAGGAATGTGGGACCGGTGGGCGAGTTTCCCAAAAAGGAAGAAGGTACTGTGACCACAGGTAACTTGTGACCTGAAGCTGCAGTTTTTCCTAACCGCATTTGCATCACTCTTGTTCTGCCCGTCTTCATCGGTCCTACTCTACCTGCGTCTGCTGGCCTTGCACGCTGAAGGGCCTGACTGACTGCAGTGTGGATGGACTGTGCTCTTTGGGCACGTGGGGTGCTACACGGAGGCAGCCGTGTGGTAGGAATGTGTGCTGGTTCTTCTTCTGTTTCTTGAGACAAGTTTTATTTATTTTTTGTATTTTAGGGAAGGGTCTACAGGGTGTTCAGGGTCTTGCTACTAGATCGAACTCGTACTGATCCGCCTGTTTACAGCCTCCCAAGAGCTGGGATTATAGGGGCATGTCACCATGCCTAGTCTCAATTGCTATCTCAGCACGCCCCTGGCAGAGCCGACACAGCAGGCCCAGGGATCGAACCCTTGGCCTGCATTGAACCCTTGACCCCTGCGCCTGCTTGCAGGCACTTTAATCCACTGGGCTATTTGGCCGGCCCTTGAGATAAATTTTAGTAATTTTGTCACCTGGGTTTTTAAATACCTTGGCTGTATCACAGTAACATTTGTGGAGGGTTCCAGTCCTTTCTTGTCTCGGGGAGAGGTGGTTATCTCAGTGCTGTTTTGAACACCATCCCAGGGAAGGCCAGCACTTGCTCCCCTTTCACTCCACAGGTAGTCTGTAAACACCCCTGTGTGGCAGGTGTTGTTCCAGGGACCAGCGGTGATAAGGTCTTGGTACTCAAGGGCTTATACTCCAGCGGGGGACGCAGGCAGACAAGTACCTGAGTGGACGTGTTTGCTGGCATTGAGAGAAGACCTAGTAAATAGCATCCCTCTTTCCAGTCTGCGTTCCAAGCCAGTGAAGGGTAACACATGAGGACCTGCAGAGGGCTGCAGCAGAACGGACCCCTTCTGAGAGAGACTGCATTGGGTGCTGTTACAGCATGAACATGCGTGGGCCCCTTGCCAGGCCTGCTCCCCGCTCGCTGTCTGACAGCCCACTGCGGGCAGGCAGGGTCTGCAGGTGGCTGTTGCTGCCTCCTGCTGGCTTCCTCAGGAGGCAAAGACGGGATCCCTGAAGTGTCACTCCCACCCGATGGAGTGTCATGGTACAGTGGCTATTGCCCGGGCACGGACTTGGGTTTCTCGGTGGGGAGAAAGGCAGGGAGGGGCATTTGCACAGATACCTGAGTAGATGCAGCAGGAAGCAGAACGCAGTTCACGGGAAAGGCCAGTGAAATTCACAGAGGAGAAGTTCTAAGTGGAGGACAGGTGGTAGAGAATGCCCACGGAGGGGCCCACTGCAGACAAGGGCTGGCCAGGAGGCCCGAGAAGACACTTGCGCAGGGCCTTGAATGCCACAGGATAAAACCATGTGACTGTCTGGAAATGAGTTTTCCAGGGAGAAGGGAGAGCAGGGACCAAGAACCTGCAGCAGCAAAGAGCTGAGGGTCTGGGAGAAGGGCTGATGTGGCTGGAGGGCGGGGTGCAGCAGAGAGGAGGAGACAGGAGAGTGGCAGCTCGTCTGTGAGCACAGGCTTTACTCCAAGTAGAAGGAAGTTTCTGGAGTTTTAAGCAGGAAGACGGGTCCAGGTTTCAGTTCTACTCTGGCTGTTGTAGTCTGGGAAACAGACTGGGGTGGCTGAGGGAAGCTGGGGAGTAGCTGGTGGATGTGCGGGCTGCGCCCATAGCTTAGCCACTTCAGCTATGTTCCTGCAGACGTAGGCGTGTGTGCATCCTGCACTATGAAGATTCCTCACTTTCAGGAAGATACCTAGAAGGAGGACACCTGGTGCCGTGGAATTCCCAGTTTCAGTGTTTTGAGGAATCTCCATATTGATGTCCGTAGTTGCGCCAGTTTGCGTTACCACTGGTTGTGGTGGTGGCAGCTGTGACTGTGATGGTCATTGGGTGGTGCTGGGAACATTTGCTGATGGGTTTTCAGGAAGGATCTCGAGAAGGGGTGAGAGGATCAAACTCGATGACTTAGAGTTCCAGGCTGAACACCTGCAGATTGCCAGTTACTGAGATCTGGGAAGACTAGGCGGAGGGTTGCTTTGTTCAATTAAAATTTGAGATGCTCATGAAACATCCAAATGGAGCTGTCAGAGATGCAGTTGAGTGTATAAATTTAGAGCTCAGGTAGCGGGAGACATCCAAGACACCAGTGTAAGAGCTAAAGACATAGTGATGAGACTTCAGGTCCTGGCTGGAGGGGCCGGCAGAGTGCGGGCTGCACACGGACAGGGCCTGGAGGGGCCGGCAGAGTGCGGGCTGCACACGGACAGGGCCTGGAGGGGCCGCAGAGTGCGGGCTGCACACGGACAGGGCCTGGAGGGGCCGCAGAGTG